TTGGGGTTTCGCGCGCGCCCCCGCCCCCCGGTGCTTTTAAAGGTTTTTTTCGTCGTTGTCGGGCGGCGGGGGCCGTTCGGGCGCCGCCGGGGTGCCCTCGAGGCGGGGTGTTTTGGAAGCGGGCCGGGAAATGTGATTTTAAATTTGCCGCGCCGCTCGCCCCATATAATTCCCGCTTTGCCGGTGGGTTTTGTCTGTGTGCAGGGTCCTGGGGGCTCACTTTCTTATATGGTTTGTTGATTTGATTTGGATAAATGGTTCTGAATGGGGAATCCCCAAGTGAATGGTTTTATCAATTCAGAGAAAGAGTGAAGATTTGATGTGAAGTGGTCTGATTCTGATTGTTCTGTCCCGAATTCATATTCANGACATTTGGAGTTATAAAAATGAAGATATTAGACAAAATATAAATATTTTTTTTTATGTTTTGAGTATTGAAAAGTGTTTTTCTTTTTTTTTTCTTTTTTTTTACCTTCGGGTTGTTGTATTATACAGAAATGCAAGGGAACGATTCGGCCAAATCTTTTTTAGAAAAGTTAAAGTCGGGCGGGTCTGCTACTGCATATGTGGACAATAACGCACCGCCGGACGGGGAGGGCATTATCGTTCGAAGACTTGACAGACAGTATACAAGTGAGCCATTATCAGCATTAGGGCTTAGATTGAGTGACGATGCGGAAGTTCTTTCAACTGAAAAACATTCTCCTGCAGCGAAAGCAAATGTACTCCCTCAGTACATGATTATATATGTCAATAATCAATTCGTTGGTAGTCGTGCAGACTTTGAAGAACTCGCATCACAACATCTTACACTTATAGTTAAACTCCAGTCGACTGGTGCCATGTCTGAGTTGCTTGCAAAAATACTGGATGAAGAAGACAAAGCGGGAATCGATCATGTCAACATGGGGATTGATACAAATGAGCTTTTGCGTACAACACCACGTTATGGTTTTTTGTCTGCAGAGCATCCTATGTTTCTTAGATGGAACCATCGAATTCAAACTCAGCGGGAAGCAAGACAGCTTCTTCGTCAGGCCGCAAGAGATGCAGAGGAACAGCAGGCAAAAGAGGCTTTCGAGAAGATCAGACAAGAAATGGAGGCTGAAGAAGCTAAACAGAAACAGATACAGAGAAATCTTGAGCCAATTGAGAAATCTTTTCCCGAGGTTACACCAAAATGTGAAGAGGAGTTTCTTTTGAAACAGGTACAGGACGAAAGTGCTTTTGGCCGAGGGAATGACGTAACTGAGACATTTGAAGAAGAAAATGAAGAAGCATCACCGGAAGAATTGCTTAAACTTATTGGTGCCCAACCCAGAGAGGAAATTGTTGTACAGGATAATCCACCCGAAGAAAGTGGTGAGGTCCGCTATTTCATTACTCCAACTGAAGAGTATACACTTTCTAATGGAATGCGTGTAACTGTAAGTGTTAAACAAAGAAGTGGACCTGTGCCTAAACCACCTCCTGGAAAACCACCAAAAAATATTGGTGGCTCACGGATCAATACAGCAAACAATGCCCCGAATCCAACGAACAATTTTAATAGCGAGGTAACATGCTCTTTTTGTTATATGCGGGGACACAGCGAGGATGATTGTGTGGAGAAAAAAGAACAGGAGAAAAAACTGGCCATGGCCCCTAAGGAACGCCAGGTATGCCGCGATTATTTGAGAGGACGATGCACACGATCCGACTGTATGATGAGACACATCTCTAAACCTAACCGAAGTCGAAGCCGAAGCCCCCGTCCTCGAAAAAGAGGTCGCGACAGACATAGAAGTCGGGACAGACGCCATCGTGGAAGTAGCCGCAAACGGCGCCACGGCAGTCGACGTAGAAATCACCGAAGTAATTCTTCCGAACGTTATCGTCGGCGAAGATGATCTCTAACAAAAAAAAAGTTCTCTACTGTTATTTAAAACACACTATATGCTTTTCTTATGGGTAACCAAAAGGAAAAAAAAGAAAATGATGAATTGTTTTGCCTATTGATTGACTCTTTTCTTCTTTTTTTTTCATTATTTTTTTTCTTATGAATAGTTGAAGTGTATAGGTAGTGGCCACTTTTGCTTTCTGGTGATTGCAATGCCGAAAAATTGCCCATGAACTATTGGCACCCAGCTGATTTTTGCCGCAGATATTTAGGGACTCGGAATGCTTTGAATTCAGACTGATGTTTCTGTTCATTTTCTTCGTTCTTATATCTTTATATGCATATTGATGTTATAAAGAAGCATGACTAAAAATAAACACGTATTCATTACCACAAGCTAAGATGAACAGCTAGCTCATAATGAATGCTTGAATACTCACCGATAAGTATGCTGAGTTAGTATTTCTTATTTGGAAGCATTCAAAGTGTTTGCTTTTGAAGTGTGTTTTGCACGATATGGGATATACTAATGGTTCCTGTGATCTTTGGATGGTAATATACACGTGAGGGACTAAAGTTATTATCAGGTTATTTGTCATGCTGAGCGAAAAACCGCGTTGGGGGATCGGATCACGTATTTTGTTTGGCGAAATGAGATAAAAAGAGATCCAAGGATTTAGCAGCAGTCCATGAGTGTGAATACAAAACAAAAAAAAAACTCAATGTGACATTGAATGGGCGGCTATCCTTTGATGTGAGCTGAATTGACGGTCAGAGCTTACGACGGGTGGGAATCCTTTACTTTTTTGTTCTCTGCTGTCTCATTTCTTTTTTTTTTTTGATCAGGTGCTTGGGGTTCCTGCTGACTTTTTTTTTGATGGGGAATCGAGCGGCGTATTGAGAGAAACCGGACAGAACTTGCATTTGGTGTTTTGAATATCAATTTTCATGTTTGATCCTTCTTAAACGAGTCACAAAGTGTATGTTTCGAAAGTCTGCCCAACTCATTCCTCGCCGCTTCACACATGAGGAGGGTTAAAGACGCCTTCAGCACTATCTTTTCATTAGTATTAATACTAAATTTATCGACGGGGTTAGATCTGTTTTTTTCTTTTATGTGTTTTGAACGAAATGTGCGGTTCACAAGAAACAAGGGAAACATCCGATGTTTTGTCCGCTCTCTCTTTTATAGGGGAGATAAGGCCTAAAGTGTTCTTGCTTGATATACCTGATAGGACGATTGCTTTGTTTTCTTGTGTCATTACTTGTCAATAAAGAAAAAAAAAAGAAAAAAAAAAGACCTACAGTTTTTCCCACATACAAGTTGATTGCTCCGAGGTTGAAAAGACCAAGTACGTTTTGAGTTGAGAAGAGTTAAAACTGCATCGAAACACATAAGTAGTGGGGGCAGAATGATCGCTGTGCGAATGCGATGGGTAATGATGGTGAAGGTAATTTGGCAGACTCATATGCAGTAATAGTATCTTAAATGATCAAGAAGAACTACCTAACAGAGGCACAGTCGGATGAAGGAATACCGATATCATTCTTCGGGTATGTATTTCTCAGTTTTTTGTTTACTAGCTGTTTGTGTTCATCTTTGGTGGGCCAAAACAAACTCAACCTTCTGAAGTATTTTAACTACACGAGGCGGTGAACATTACTTAACGAAACACTTTCATTTCAACTACCGTTTTTCGCCTTCTTTCCATGTGTATTTCCCTATTCGATAGGAAGGAGGGGGAGGGAGAAAGGAAATAGTTTTTTTCTTTTGCTCTTTGTGTTAGTTTCTTTTCTTCCTTTTGCAGTGGACCAGTAAATATTTGCGGTCGCCTGATTATATTTGCTTTGAGCTAATGAGGTCTGGCTGCACGTCGAATCCTAATGAGTTTACCTCCGCCTTTTTTTTTGGCATTATCCAAAGTAGAATTTTGGCTTTTGTAACGGCAGTGAATGACGCCTTTTTTTGTGTTAATGGAACTTTTAAAAGGAATTATCTAGCCTTCCTTTTTTATTTTGCGAAGACTATTGTTATGTCTTGTTTCTGATTTATGCAGAGATTGGTGGAACCTTGATGGCTTAAAAAACCCGCCCAACCCAACCCTCTCCGCTTCGCGCTTGAGGTGGGTTAAAATGCATTTTCAGTACCTCCCTTTTTTTTTTTTTGTTTGAACCTGTTTTGTTCATTCGGAATGAGAAGTGTTGTAATTCTGTGTAATTTCGGTTTTGATCTGAATAAAAAAGTCACAATATCTGACGGTGAGAAGTGTTTTAAGCTACAATATTTTTTACACTTGTCTCTATATTGTTTTCCAATTTGTAAGGGTAACGTAAAGAATAGACTATTCGGAGATGAAATCGACAGGTGCTGGGCTATTTAAGGTTGTTTTTGCTGGGGTTCATTTTTGTATGTGGGATGGATGATTGTATCCAATGCCTTGGTGAATTATATGAATCACATAGATGGATGTGATGGAATTATCTTTAGATGTTTTTACTTATGGCTTAGCATTTCCTCTTCCTCCTTACATTGACACAATCAAAGAAACTGCATACTACATAGGATGCGTGGCGGTTTTCGTAGAGGCCGATTTGACAAGGTTCCACAGCCGGGGACGATTGGTAGCTATACAGAGGCTCTTTACCCACCTCGTGCATATCACTACTATACTCAGCGATCACTTGCTGCTACTCCTACGGGTCCAACAGTAATTGTTCCTAGCATTGATGATGGCGTTGGGGACTCTCGTGGAAGAGAGGTATCCACCCAAGGCACCAGCCCGGTGATGCACAAAAAGAGTATTCCTCTGCTCCGCGATTTTGTAGACTGTTTCATTGATGGAAATCAATATGTGGGGGACACTCGTGCTTTTGCTGTTGTGGATGCTGGAAGTGAGCCCCTCAACATGCTACATTACCCATATTTACTGTGCTCTAATACTGTGGGGGACGGCATATCGCCAACTGCAGTGACCGGAAATCAGTTTCAAAACGACACTGCAGGTTATCCAAACTTGCGTTTGTGGGAGGAGGTGCTGGGTCTGCCAAACGAATTAAGAATCTACAGCGCACTTAATGCTCGTGGCGAAATGACAGGTTTCACTGGAGATCGTCTTAGAATTCGCCCTGTAAAGCGTAAACGTGTCGTGAAGCCAGTGCGACGAGGCGCCAAAGTGATTGTTCTTGCTGCTTTGGGTGACGATGGCGTTCCAGAAACTCGAAGAGTTAAACGAGGTGCCGGAGATGAAGATGCCCAAGATGGCGGGGCAAAGGCGCAGCTTAAGCAGGAGGATGATGACGCCGAGGAAGAACGGGGTGGCGATTTTGATAAAGACGATGATGAGGCATCACTTTCCTTCCAGGTTGACGACGATGATGATGGGGGTGATTTGGATGGACCCGAAGGCAGCGGTGGTGAGGACGACTTCTTTTGAGCATACGAGTAATTATGAGACGTGGTGGTGACGACCTCAAGACCATTATTATCTCATGCTTTGAGAAAAATAATTCTCAGAGGATATGGCTCTTTTTTGTGTCGCATTCTCTCATTTGTCGGTTTGCTGGCACTTTGGTCGGTGCGGTCTTCTTATACTTGGCTTCTTTTGGCTTTCTCATTTAGAAATCTGCCATGAGCGCAAAGGCCCCAAAGCTCTTCAACAAGTGGTCGTATGACAATCTCCAGACAACGGATATTGCTCTGAGCGACCACATCTCGAAGACTGCGACGTATGTGCCCCACTCCGCTGGCCGGTGGCAGAAGAAGCGCTTCCGCAAGGCACGCATCCCAATCGTGGAGCGCCTCACGAACGGTCTGATGTTCAAGGGCCGTGGCAATGGTAAGAAGCTGCAGGCTGTGCGCCTTGTGAAGCACACACTCGAGATCATTCACCTGTTGACGGACCAGAACCCCGTGCAGGTTGTGATAGACGCTGTGTCGAGGGGCGCACCACGTGAGGACTCCACGCGTGTTGGCTCCGGTGGTGTGGTGCGCCGCCAGGCCGTTGATGTCTCACCGATGCGCCGTGTGAATGAGGCCATCTACCTGATGTGCAAGGGTGCCCGCGAGGCTGCGTTCCGCAACCTCAAGACGCTGCCTGAGTGCCTCGCCGATGAGATCGTGAATGCGTCAAAGGGCAGCTCCAACTCATACGCCATCAAGAAGAAGGACGAGGTGGAGCGCGTTGCCAAGGCCAACCGGTAAGCGAAAAAGAGATTTCAATCCAATAGTTCTTTGCTACTCTGTTATTTTTCGTTTTCCTTTTATGATTTTTCCCTGTCATTTGTCTGCTGCGGCAGCTGCAGCGGCAGAGAAGACTACCTTCCTGTTCCTCGCGCTTTACTTCTGCGTGTGAGGCTGGTTTCCCCGACTTTGGTTGCGGCTAGGAAAGGCAAGGCGATGAGCGCAAAGGCCCCAAAGCTCTTCAACAAGTGGTCGTATGACAATCTCCAGACAACGGATATTGCTCTGAGCGACCACATCTCGA